ACACTACTTTTTAAATCTCTTGTTTTCCCTTTTCAGGAATGCTAATAAAAACAGAGAAGAACTAGCATCACCATCTTCAACAGTAACTCCAGCTCGTCTTGGAGTCCAGAGTTGTACAAAATTTCCCTTATGTGTTAAGCAAGAATTGGATGACTCTCCAGTAGTAGAGTTAGGCTCGTCTCAGGATTTATCTTCTTCCATGATTCCTTGTCAGGTCTCACATTGTCATTCTCAGACAAATGTGAATAATGAATCTGTTGAAGTTAATAAAGAAAGCTTTGTTGATTTTATTGAAAAACAGGGAAATGCAAGTGAATTAAATGGTAATATTCAGAGAGACAAAATTTGTTGCCCACTGTTAGTCGAGATTGATGACAATGATTATCCAAACATGAAACAATACCAACATGATACTTCTGATATTGTTCAATGTCAGACGTTAAGATCTGAGAAAATTAACACGGTACCTAAAACCAGTGTAACCACAGTCTACTCTTATAATGAAACAACAATGGTAAATGCAGATTTACCCTTACCTATTACTTTACCAGAATCTTCAAATATTCCATCTTTACTCACAACTTCAGTGAAAAGTGAAAACTCGCAAGAAAGCTCTTCAAGAAAGATTATTATTGACCAAAATGCAGAGGAAGAACATTTTACTTGCTTGTCACTTCTAGCCCAGAAGGAATACTTAGAACGAAAGGAACAAATGCTGTTCAAACAAAAAAATTTCATCAAACTTCAGAGATCTAACATTCTAAACACTTTCTCTGGTGACAATGCTAAATATTCAGAGCTTTTGGAAGAAAATGCATTGATGAGAACACAAATAGAACAAAAAATTTCTAAAATTAGACACAAAATAATAAAATTAAATAAAATGCTTACCCTGGAGGATAGTGAATTTCGTTATGAAATTAAGAATAGTAAAAAATATAAAGAATTTGCATCTCGTAAAAGAAAAATTTCAGAGGGTAGAGAGTGCGAGTCTGATGATGGACAGATAGTCCTGAATGAGCCTCATGGGTTTAGCACTTCCCATGAATCTAATGACAAATTGAGGCAGACCCAGTTGCAGCCTTCTGTGATGACTAATATTGAAGCTGTTACTAATAGACTTGAACCATTGCAGAATAACCATTCTACAGTCAGTATTTCCCCAGGGAGTAGTTCATCCAGTATTAATCGTAAAAGAAAGCTTGAAGATAACAAAAATTCCAAAAATACAGACTGCTCTGTTGTTAATGAGAAAATTAATTTTAAAAAAAGACGAACCAAGAAAGTTAGAAAAGATCTTGTCAGTACAAACCATGAAGCCATATTAAACGAGGAATTCCTACAAAATGCTGCTCAAGTGAACTGGTGTAGATTGTGTAATGGGATTTTTTATTCTGTTGCTAACTATGTGGACCATCTAGCATCTTCAGAACATTTGCAGAGACGAAAGGTAATTAATTCATTATCCTGGAAGGGTCAGAAAAACAGAGTACAGCATATTAAACATTAGAATGTGAGGAACATGGGGGTGTTTTAAGGACTTAGTAGGTGGGGAACTTTTTAGAATTTCTTTCATTTGTGTGTCACTTTGTCAAGTGTAAATGTATAAATGAGAGGGATAATAGGTAAAGATTGGCTGATAATTACTTTGCTATGATGATTATTTCCTGTAATGTATTTAATAACTGAAACATGTTTAATTGGGAGTTGCTCTATATACCTTAAATAAGTGAAATATTATACATATCTTGTGATTACTGTATCTAGTTATCAGTGCTGGACTGTGCTAGTGTTGTCCTATTTATTATTTTTTATTTTTTTATTATCACACTGGCCGATTCCCACCAAGGCAGGGTGGCCCGAAAAAGAAAAACTTTCACCATCATTCACTCCATCACTGTCTTGCCAGAAGGGTGCTTTACACTACAGTTTTAAACTGCAACATTAACACCCCTCCTATCATCAGTATTTAGCTTGTCCTATAATTTTGGGGTTTCTATTTATTGTAATATAAACTCCATTTTTGGGGATTCCATTCTACTTATTTATTACTTTCTGAAAAGTATTTTCTGTGATCCATTCTGCACTACTTTATTTATAGTTTGAAAATGTGACCTCTTATTCACTCTGTTGAAGATTAAAAAAAATCCTTACTGGTATCTCTCTTCTTGTATCCTTTTGTATACATACTCTAATATAAATTTTTTCTTTCTGTCTACCATCTGTGGTAATTCCATTGCCTTCAGTCTTTCTTTGTAATTTATATTTGAAATTGATTTTCACTTTCTTGGATGACTGTACTTGAATTTTATTTGTATTTTTATAGATGTGGACACTATACCACAGCTGCATATTCCAATTTGTCATGATGTATTTTTTCTATTGTTTCATCTTCGATATATGTATTTGAAAGCTGTTTTGTAGATTGTTATAGCATATGTATCTCCCTGCCAGGAGCAAGGGGCTGGTAACTCATCCTATATAAATTACTAAATTTCAAAAAAACTTTCGTTTTTCTTTTTAGGTCACCCTGCCTCGGTGGGATATGGCCGATGTGTGAAAAAAAAAAAAAATCTGCACTACATGTTTCTGATATTATGGCATTAACCAGGTTTTGCTCTCCGCTTGTTTTATATTCTTTTCAATAAGGTTTTATTCATTAGTTTAACAACACTTGTTAGTGAGACAGGTTGGTAATTTAAAGGGTCTTCACTGTCACCTTTCCAATATTGAGTTGTATGTTTGCCATTTTTTAGCATGTCTACCTGTTTACCTTCTTGTAGGGAAATTATCAGAATGATGCAGAGTGGAATGTTTAGTTCTGCACATTACTTCAAACCTCAGTGTGATAGCTCATCTGGTAATTATTGCTATCAGTGTGATAACTCATCTGGTAACAATTACTATCAGTGTGACAGCTTATCTGGTAATAATTGCTATCAGTGTGATAGCTCATCTGGAAATAATTGCTATTTTTATATTAGTGCATAATACTGTAGCAATTTCTTTATTTTCCTTATAGATATTTAAATTTTCTCTCCCTCTCTGGTTGTGAGGACTAAAGTCCTTCATTTAAGATTTCTTTTTATGACTATTCTCTGGAATTTTGTAGCTCCTGGTTGTTACAGTACATCACATTTTATATTCTCTTAAAAACTTTATTGGAAGATTTAGTTTTGACTTTCATTTCTACTTATTTTGAGTATTATATCCAGTTTCTGACCTGGTTTAATTAGCTAAGTTTGTATTTAGGCCCATTTTTTATTTTGCAAGTCAATAATTTACATAATTTCAATATTTTTTTTTTTTTTTTTTTTGTCTGGCAGCTAAATGATGGAAGTTGGTTAAGAAAGCTACCTCAGGTTGAACAAAAATATGTGAAACAAGAAGATTTGTTGGATCTGTATGGTAGGTGAATTTAATTTTTTTATTGTAAAACTGTGTGAAGGTTGAAATTATTGATAGGTACCTTATCTTCTGGTAAACACATGCCTGTCTCCTTATGTATTTTCTGTCTTATGAGTGGTAGACTCTGGTATTCCAAGGCTGAAGGACTGATCACTCATCTTTTGTCTACTCTTTTTCTGTTGTATCCTTGAATTTGTATTAATAAAGCCACGGGATAGCAAAATGTCTACAATAACGATACATGTGTCTAATTCTTTATCTAGTATTCAGGAATAACCTGAACTTCAAAAAATTCTTGCTTGGTGCTCTTGGGCTTATGGCTTTTCTGTGTTGGTTTAATAAATTAATTGAGAAACCTGGAAGGAGGAGCCAAATAACTGGATAATGCAAACTAAAAGTTAATGAAGAAACTGCTAATACGTCTACAGTTAATGTTATTTAATGTACAGCATGACAAATCTTTCTCTGTGCAGTTAAATTGTATTAGTGACATCAGTCTCACAAGAATGGTGCCTTGATGCCAGGGAGTGGCTCTTGATCCAAGGAATTGAACCTGCTTTTACTCTGGAGTGAATCTGATTGCCCCTCATTCCCCTGTGTGCTCTCTGACCCCTACTGCTTTTGCACCCCCCTCTTCCTCAACTGTGAATGTAACAATAATAGCAGCATCCAGTTATGGTTCACTTGGTACAATACTACTTCAGTAAAGTTATATAGATCCACATCAGCTGATCTCCACAAGGAAAATAATTACAGAATTGATTCACATACACCTGGCAGGCTATATACTACATTAGTATGCCTCTAATTTTATCAGAGACTCAGCTAGGTCTTGTGATGCATCATAATAACTGTTATGTACATATTCCCAGTATGTATCCAGGGCATCTCTCATGCATCCACACTTGTCTAACTAACACCATCTAACCTAACATCATTTTACAGAATTCTGTTAATAGACAGCACCCATCCATGAAGGCATTGCTGACCTGTCAGATAAGTGTGAGATGGAAACTTGTTAATATTTTTGCACTGGCAGGATTGCTTGTACATATTTTCTTTTAATATCATAAATGCATAAGATGACAGGTACTTTCATTCATTATACACTTACCTTTACTTTCCTATGTGCTGCTTATGCTCCTTGATGTAGTAGCTTTTAATCCTGTAATATTTCCTTTCCAACCTATGAGTCCTAGTCTGAGACCAGACTTCATAGTTTGGAAAGATAATTCCTAAGAACTGTTTAACAGATAACTACCTAACTACCAGCATCAGTTTATGAACATCCCATGCGTGCTGAGAAGTTTTTTCTTCATGTTTATATCTTAAAGAAAGGTATGTTCCATAAACCTGCAAAAAAATACAGTATGATGACCTCTCGGCAAACTGGGCTACATTCAAATCTGCATATGCATTATGCATGGCGCAGGAACACTTTACTGTACAGTGTAACAGTACTTGATACAAACATAATCTTTAATACTGACATTGCATTGTTTGATGACTATCACCACCCTGCACACACTCAGGTCTCAATAACTAACATTTTATTTTTTATCCATTAACATTTATGTTAGCACGTTCAAATGCAAGTACAATAATGTGCATTGTGGTGGTGTAACTTTCACAAGAGCATGTGATAAAATGCATGAGAGGCAATGTTTGTACACCAGTATGGTATTTGATATGCAGAGAATTATATTAATACAGAGGAAGAACATTTTTTGCGAGTTTTTGGCAGTTATGCATAGACGATGGGAAAATTGTCATGAACAGTGGTACCTCGGGATACGAACAGCTTAAAACTCGAACAGTTATGTAAGTGTATTTATGTAAGTGTATTTTTGGGGGTCTGAAATGGATTAATCTAACTTACGTTATTCCTTATGGGAATAAATTCATTCAGTATCAGCACTCGAACATCCTTCTGGAACGAATTAAGTTTGTATCCCGAGGTACCACTGTACAGTGGACCCCCGGTATTCGATGGCATCGGTATTCGATAAATCTGGTATTGGATGCATTTTAACACAAAAATTTTGCCTCGGTATCCGATTGAAAACCCAGTATTCGATGCAATTCGTACGAGACGTGTCCACGTGTGGCCTGAACTGCCCCGTGTGTGCCAGTGTTTACAAGCCAGGCAGAATACACGCATCTAAGGATACATTCGGTACATTCCATATTATCACTGTTTTTGGTGCTTGTTTCTGCAAAATAAGTCACCATGGGCCCCAAGAAAGCTTCTAGTACCAACCCTGTGGTAAAAAGGGTGAAAATTAGTATGAAATTAAGAAAGATTTTGAAGAGTTTGGGGCTAACCCTGAGAAGCCTCTGCCAGTTGTGGAATCCATTGTGCCTACTTCAAAAATTAAGGAAATGTGTGCAAATTGGGTTGAACTGCAAATCTTTATGGATGAAAATCACCCTAACACAGCTATTGCAAGTCGTGCTGGTGACTATTACAATGACAATGTTGTGGCCCATTTTAGACAAATCGTAAAGGAACGGGAGGTACAGAGCTCTATGGACAGATTTGTTGTGTGACAGAGGTCCAGTGACTCTCAAGCTGGTCCTAGTGGCATTAAAAGAAGAAGGGAAGTAATCCCAGAAAAGGACTTGCTGCCTCAAGTCCTAATGGAAGGGGATTCCCCTTCTAAACAGTAACAACAACTTCGACATTCTCCCCTCCTCCCATCCAATCAATCATCACCAGATCTTCATTAAAGGTAAGTGTCAATTATTCTATTGTTATTGTTGTTATTGTAATTATTCTATTGCATTTAAATTAATATTTCATGTGGTAAAATTTTTTTTTCATACTTTTGGGTGTCTTGCACGATTAATTTGATTTCCATTATTTCTTATGGGGAAAATTGATTCGGTTTTCGATATTTTTGGCATTCGATGAGCTCTAAGGAACGGATTAATATCGAATACCGGGGGTCCACTGTACTTTATATCTGCTGCTCTTTCATACTGTAATTGCTGAAACTCTGTAAAAGATATTCTTTAAGCAATCAAATGCAGTACAGTAATGATTTTTAATGATATATAAACTAATTAATTTGTTTATATTTAATCTTGTATTCTTTTAATGTTTATGCTCAATTAATAATTTTATTGTTTTAAGTAAGGTACAAAATTAAAATCTGATATCCTACCACAGGTGTGGAATTTCTTGACTCTGTCACACTATTCTTCTGCAATCTCTGTAAGGTTTTGATTTGGGATAGAGATGAAGCTTTGTTCCACCCAAGGTGCCCTCAGCATGCAGAAAATTTCAAGGTTAGTAGGTGATATTTGTGTTTATATTCACTGTTAAAAATTGCTTTCCTTTTCATTTACTGCATAGGCGTGGAAATATAAACACACGTGCAGTATAATGTGATCCTTTATTGACAACGTTTTGCCCACACAGTGGGCTTTTTCAAGTCACAAACAGATCTACCTGGGTGACTTGAAAAAGCCCACTGTGTGGGCGAAACGTTGTCAATAAAGGATCACATTATACTGCATGTGTGTTTATATTTCCATTGTGTCGGTATTTTATACCATTTATTTCCACTGCATAGGCGTCTTACATTAATAATGTAAGAGGCACAGGTAATTTAAAGACAAGTTAGGAAATTATTTTCTGCTTTCATTATACGTATCACCATTGTTGTTGTTGAAAGGGAAATTGTTATGCTTAAGGAACTTTCACCTTCTCTTCCATGTAATAATATTTGTCTGTCCTTTTCTGGCTGGTGCCTCTAATGTTATTTAATGGTTTCCTTACAGTACAGTATATTACATTATCATATTCATGAAAAGTGCTAAACCTTGGAGGATTTTTTCTGTAGAATTTTGCTTTGCCAAGAGTGGCTTCACCAGTTGTCATGGTAAAACATTTCCTTTAATAAATGCCCTGAACTGTACATAAGTCCTTTTCCACAACACAAATATTATTGGTACCTTCTTAAAAAGTTAATAAGATTGTTTTTGTTTACAGAATTATGTTTCGGAAAATGTTCTTCGTGAATTAAACTTCCTCCAGAGAAAGGCAACTGCATATAAGAGACATATTTCAAGAGACAGCTCATTCAC